CCGTCAATACTTGAAAATGCTTTTACTCATAATCTTAGTAAAAAGTAACGTTATTTATCGTTAAATATTACTGATATTTTGGGTTTTACTACCAGTACCTAAAGGGTGTCCCATATCAAATTGCATCACGGAAAAAAACCGCTGTAGAATGATACCTAGTTGACCGATCCTTTTCAAACTTTCAGACAATAAAATAAACCCATTAGTAAGCTTTTGGCATATTAATTTCATTCACTTGAATACCGTACGCTCGCACCATACGCTGAACTCCACTCATTAGGTTCTGTACAACATCTGACTGTAGCTTCTTCTGTACGGAAACCCGCTTTTTGCTTCATGTCTTCCTCAGATTTGACCTCCTTGGGACGCTTCCATAGTGCCTGCTTCATAATAGCCCAGTATTTTTCGATGGGCCTGCGTTCCGGTGCGTTGGGGGTTCATGTCCTTGGGTACGAAAGTGAACCCGTTGCCTTCGTACCAGTCCAACCAACATTAGAATAGTGGCACGAAGCTAGATCCAGCCAGAAGATCGTAGGGCCTTCGTGTTGCTTCAACTGAAGAAGCAGACGCTTCGGTAGACACTCGTTGAGGTAGATCTCCCTGTTTACAGTCCCGGTAGTCACGAACGGCGCACTTCGTTTGCCACATGAGCAGATCGCTTGCCAAATGATGTATTTCTTGGCAGACTTTGAAAGTTTCTGCTTCCTTACTTCCTACGGAACATCAAACTTGTGCTGGGCGGTGAAGAACAGTAGCCCCGAAAGCTGCCGGAAGTCCGCCTTGACGTAAGTCTCATCATCCATGATGACACATAAGGCTTCGTCAGCATCTGGGTGTACAGTTTCCGGGCCCGTGACTTTCCCACCGTATTTTGCCGTTCGTTACGATGTGGAGCCTTCTGCACTTTGTACGTATGCAGTCCCTCCCGGCCCTTGTCTCTCTGAACGGAAGACTTGGACAGATTCAACTTTTTGGCCACATCCCTGACCACCGAAGCATTGGGATTCCACTTAAACGCTTTCACGACACGCTTGTGATCCTGATCACTAATAGAACATGTATTCTGACCTCATTTCTCCATCCGTTCGATGCTCAGCGTTTCGTAGTAACGTTTAATCACACTACTCACCGTTGACTGCACGATTCCGAGTTGTTTTCTGATGTCCCAATGAGAGAATTGAGGATTTTCGGGTGACGCCATTTTTTCCAACTTTCGATAAACTGACAGCGATAAAAATACAGTGTAAACAATACACTCTAAACTACTTCTACCCAAATTTACAAGAGAAAATACCCAATGGGTAATTTTCTACAGTGTTTTTTTCTGTGATGCAATTTGATGTGGGACACTCCTTAGAATTTATTCAGTAAATGATGCTAAAACGCATTAGCGTGAACAATGCATTAGGTCCTAAGTAACATTGATCGATTCTCTTCATCGACTTTCTCTTTCGTTAATAACTTGGGTACTGAACAGTTTCTTGTCGTGTTTGTCGTATACAAAGCTAGATAATAGCTTGTTTCATCGATCTGTGCGCCGAAATTACCAGGGAATGTCTTAACGTGGCCGTAAGGATGCAAAGAGAAAGTCGACGAATAGAATCTGTCAATGTTACTTAGGACCTAATGCAATGTTCAGCTTGATGTGGATGGTTCCCGTCTTGGTCAAATTTGTTCAAATGGACAGCAGCTATCTTAAGGAACAGAGTCTAGTTCAGAATTCACTCACCAAGTCACGCTAGTGTAACATTCAGTTTTCATTGTTTGCCCTAACTTAACATCTTGACCAGATAGAAGGTTCCCGTCTTCGACAAAGTTGTTCAGATGAACAAGACCTATCCTAAGTAAGACAATTCAGCGCAGAATTTGCTAACCAGGCAGCGCTAGTGTGACATTCATTTTGATGGACTAGATAAATGGTTTCCGTCTTCAGCAAAGTTGTTCTATTTTGTGGTAAACAGTTCAGCATAGAATTCACTCGCCAGCTGGCGCTCGTGTAGCATTCATTTTGAATTGTTTGCCATTAATTAACATCTTGACCAGATAGAAGGCTCATCAATCATCAGTTCTCACTGTTGCTTCGTGTTTTTTTTTGATTTCACTTGACAGCTTGTCTAAAGGCTGACTAAAAGTAAATTTGTACGAATAAAAAGACCTGTAATTCGTGATTCAATAAGTTTAAAAAGTCCATTAATACTTCAAAGTTACAGCATTAGATGGTTACATTTCTCCAGTTCGAACGAAATCTCGAACCTTCCTCGTGAACAGTTGAAACGGACACGGAATCAGCGCATTTCTTCCATTTTGCCCGCATTTGCTGGATGTCCTTGATGCCCCGCCGCTTTGTCGAAGTCGCTGATTTGAAATTGCCCAATATTTTTCGATTCGTCGAAATTCTGGGAATCTCCCATTAGCTTGGGGACAAAATCGATCTTGTTGGCAGCATACCACTCCAGAACCACCTTGGAGTAGTGGCAGCTGGTCAAATCGGGCCAAAAGATGACTTCGCCCCTATGCTTGCGGATGAACGGCAATACACGCTTTTTCATGCATTATTCGATGTAAACTTGGGATGTCATCGTCGAGGATGTGACGAATGGTTCCGTTTTCAGGCCACAACTGTAAATCGCTTGCCAAATTATGGCCTTCTTGGCGAACTTGTCGGCAAACACGAACTTGAATCTTCGCGATGTAAATCTTTTGACCGGGAAGCTTAAAATGCGTATGTTTCGTCATCGATCAAAGTGCAGCCCTTGAGTTTCGTCAAAGCGGCGCGTGAGGGGCGTACCAATTTTCTTTTAGTCAGCCTTTAGATAGAAGGTTTCTGTTTTCGGCAAAGTTTCTAAAATGAACTAAAACAATGAGATGGTAATAATCATATAAATTCGTTCCCCAGAAATTGATGGAGCTTAGCTTTGTTTAAATTTGTTGCTTTTATTTGAAATTTTAACTAATAAGAATATCGCTCTTCAACAATCTTGGTCATTATAGTAGTTGACAAATCTGTTCAGGAAATTCATGTCATCCAAATTTAGAGAGAAATACGCAATTCATTTAAGCTTTCAACAACGTAGTCTCTTTTGTTCATCAATAGTCCAGGACGGAAACTATCTCAGTAGTGCTCAGATGCCAAGGGGTGAATTCAAATATTTTAATTTTAGTTCCACGAATCACAAACAATATTTCTCATATAAAATGTGCAGATTTTATGAGTTGTTGATTATTTTTTTGATATTTTGTTGATATTTTGAAGTTCAAGATCTCGAATGATTTCCAAAGTCTCATTAAGACTTAAGGTTGGGGAGGAAGACAGAAGGGTAGAATTTTGGAAAGTGAAAGATTGTAGTAAGACATTTTATTAGAAAACTTGAGCTGCAAAAAGAACTTGGAATTTTAGCTTGAAAAAATTTACAGAAAGATGAAAAAGGCAATGGAATCTCAATTCGAATTGGCATAAGTTAAAGGTTATTATATAAAATTGTAATTCAAATTCGAAAGAAATTTGAATCAGAAGTTAATTCGATTTCAATGGAATCCTTGGAAGAATTTAATATGTTTGACAGTGTCAAGGAGAAGTTATTTAGCAGAAGTTTTAAGTTACATTAAGCAAACTTTTGAAACGGAGTCCATTGAAATGATTACAAATTTCAAAGAAAGTTATGGTGAGTTCCTACAAAATCATCAGGAAGTTGAAATCACAAAACAAGTTGTGAAGAGTATAGTCATTTGGAGGGCATACATCCACAGATTGAAAGCATCCCGCGGGCTGAACAAACTCACTCGGCTGAACAAGCCGTTGGATGAGCACCACTGTCTATCTAGTCCATAAGTTAAGTTTGGACAACAATTCAAAATGAATGTCACACTACCGCTACCTTGTGAGTGAATTCTGAACTGAACTCTTTACCGTAGGATAAGTCTTGTCCATCTGAATACCTTAACCGAAGACGAAAATCTACTATCTAGTCCATATGTTTAGTTAGTGCAAACAATGAAAAAAGAATGTCACACTAGCGCCGCCTGGTGAGTCAATTTTGAGCTGAATTATTTACCATGTTCATCTGAACAGCTTTGCCGAAGACGGGAACCTTCTATCTAGTCAAGATATTAAGTTAGAGTAAACAATTCAAAATGAAAATCACACTAGCGCTACCTGGTGAGTGAATTTTGGAATCAATATGTTTACCTTAGGATAGGTCTTGTCCATTTGAACAACTTTACCCGAGACGGAATTCTTCTATTTAGTTTATATGTGGTTGTGTCCGTACTTTCTACTTTCTACTCATGCTCACATTGCTGGCTACTTGTGTTTTATGAGACAGTTGCCGTCATCGGGTTTAAATGGTTATAGGATGAACCCGATCATAAGTGATGTGTTGTGATATAACGCCCTCGGCTGCCTTAGACAGCCATTTTTGTGAAACTTGTCGTCGTCGGTGCCGGGTTTGAATTGCTACAACAACAACTCGGTCATAAGTGGTGCAATGTGATTTGAGGGGATCAGTGGCTTTAGAGCGACCGTCTTTGCTTACTGAGCAGAACATCATGAATTTAATCTCAGACCCTTTCACATTCAAGATTCGTTCGTGGCTCTGTGTTATTCCAGATGATTTGGCAGTAACGGAATAGCGAAAGACGGCAGTCAATCATGCACTCATCCTCCAAATCGTTTTCGACAAGTGTACCGAACGTTTACCTAATTTAGCTTGAGCTGTCTAATCAAAGAAGTCTTGGAGAGCGGGCTCGTAGTTCGTAGACCGATTGAGAAGACGCGTGACTCAATCAATTGTCACCCGAGAAATTTAACTCCCTCTCCGTTGGATGTCTCCTCGCGATAACCCTTTTCAAGTGTCGTGAAAAATTACCCCCCTCCACGACAACGTTTATCGGTCCAAACTCACTCAGTTATTATGTAATTACTCCTCATCACTCACTCAACTCGCTTCACTCTCCGATGCAATTAATATTAATCATAATTCCATTCTCCCCCTTCGTTCCAGACTGGCGATCGAGTATTTGTGGGCGCCCCCGGAAGCTACTACTGGCAAGGTAATTGACACATGTTCTCATATTTATCCGCGATAAGAACCATCCCATCGAACCCATTCGGAGTTACACCACGCTCTTGACGGTCGGTGGGGCCCCTTTCACTCGTCATTTGCCCGACGACATCTGCCATCTTTTGATTGCTCGCTCGTTCGCTCGCTGATTGAAAGATGCAGATGCCCTGCGAATTACCACGAGGGGCAAAGGGGGCCCTCAGGGCGGAGCCACCAAGTTGTACAACTCATCATTCATTATTGTCTCACAATCCGACGAGGGCAAAAGCAAATTACACCCCTTCCCCCCACTCTTTCAATTGGCCCTCTCGGTCATAGAGTGCACGATTTTCAGCGCGTTTTAGGTTTGTGATGAGTTTGATTGAAACGGAGCGATATTGATGAACCCCACATTATGACAGCTCCATTTGTATAGAGTTTTGTGTAGCGGTCCCCCTTTTATGAAAGAGGGCAAATTAGAAGGTTTGCAGTGCAGTTTGAACCCGCCAATATTCTCCCATTTCCCTAGTTCTTCAACACATGATTAACTTCCCTCAATTACCCGATTAGTTACGCACTTGGTGTGAAATTTTGCCCCCATATGCTCTAATCGAAACCTCCCATCTAAATTGGTAAGTATTTGCTCCTGAGTTCAGTGAGGGGTTGAGTGCGTTGACTGATGCGCTGCGTGTAGTTTTGCGCTCCCTAGATCCTAGTAGGCAGTGAGATTTGATTTGCCATCGCAGCAAGCGATGAACTGTGCTGTCACATTTTACACACTTAACTGTAGTTAAGGCTTACCCTGCAAAAGTTTAAACACTCTCCAACATAGTGATACCCTGCAAATAAACACAATCCACTCACACACAATCATCATGAAAAACAAATCAAAACATTTCAGCAAGTGTTATCACCGATATTTTTCGTTTTCTTCTTTTGTTTTCTATGTCATTCCCCTTTGTGCCACATCTCTCCTGCCCACACCTGCGTTGTGCACGTGCTCGTATATACCAACCAACACCACCACAACCACCGCCATTTATACCAAAAAATAAAAAAAAAATACCCCGCGAAACAAAACCAAAACCAATCTTAATCAATTTCAGGACAAGTGTATTCCATTAATACCGACGCTGTGTTCCCCTATAAACCCCCGCGATATGGTCAGTTTGGCGAAGGAGGTAACCTATCGACAACAACTACAACAACAACAAAGATGATTTCCATAACTATCCAATCTAAATTTCAATGTTTCTATCCAAGATTAAACTTAAAAACAAACCTCTAAAATTCACATCCATTCATTCGCGAATAAAACCACTTGACAGCTGGGAAAGTTAAACCGAATCGTGTTGCTTCAATTTCAACCTCGCGAATCATGTAAACATACTGTCGTATTGTTTTCCTAACCTCTCATCATTTGCTAAAACACAAAACTTCATTTCTATCGTGAGCTCCTCCTATCCACAAACTCATCAAGGGTTACCTTAACTTCTGTGATTCTCAACCAACCATTCAAGATGACAATCGTTGGCTTGTTTTGGATACCGAAACCGAAAAAAACAATCTCCATTCAGTACTGCTTTATCCTAAACCAAACACCCAAAGCAAACGCAAATGCAAATGCGCGCACCTTGTGTCAAACCAATTCACCCAATCACAAAGTCATGCACTCGCACGCACAAACACCACCACCACCACCGCCAATGCCTACTGCATCTAGTTAAGTTTGCCTACTAATTGAAAATTATTCACTATCGAAAAAAAAGCGAAATCATTGTCATTGTTTACAAAAAAATATTTATATTTTGCCATACGACGGAGTTTGACCGCTGATGCCGGATTAACGGGAGGGCACTGTATTCTTTTCTGCTTTCCAATTAATCTATGAGAAAGCGATCCCACACAATGAGCGGTACACTCCGTGCCGCGCAGGGAGCGAATATAATACAAGCGCACGACTGCATGCATAGGAGATGAAGAAGGGCATAACGAAGAAGAATTTTGTCTTTTTGCTGGGTTTTTCCATTCGTAACCCTACACTGAGTGGCGCTCTTTGCGTCGGAGCCGTCGGTGCGATGGCTACACATTGAGCTTTCGTTATTTCTGGGTGTGTGTCTTCTGTCTTCTCTTCTCCGCTGCTTTACACTTGCGCAGGGTGAAAGACAACCAAACTTTGTGTTCGCTTGATTCTCACTTTGTTTAGTTCAGAAAATCAGTACATTGCACACATTGAGTGATCAGATGACAGCCCTGTTTAGAACACATTAATCTAGAAAATTGGAATAGTTTCCTATAGGGTAGGTGTGCTAGTGGAGTTTCACACCCTACGCTATAATTTGGAGGAAGAGACCCCCCCCCCCCCCCCGTTTCATGGCAAAGTGCTATTTTGGGACACCCTGATGAACAACCATGCATTAACATATTTTTTGAATATCCGTTGAGATAAGCTGATTATTAAGCTGATCAATCCTTTTCCGAAGTGAGTCTGAACCTTTCTTTTTAAATAATACATTCCGAAGTGATTCAATACATTTCTATAGTGATTCCGAGCTTAGGTCATTATCAGCAGTGATCCAATACTTTTCTAAATGAGTTCATACTTTTCCGAAGCAAGTCCCTGATTTGCTGAGCTGATTCAACGATTTTCGAAACGAGTTCAAACTTGTCTAAAGTGATTCAATAGTTTCTGAACTGAGTCCAAACTTTTCTTTTCGGTGTTAGGACACGCCTTTAGATTCGGTCCAATACTTTCTGATTTTTGTTTGTTTGTATATTAATTTATTTGATAAGGCTCAATCGAACTAACTTTACTGAGCCGAGGAGTCTTGTTCACTAATACATCTTAAAACTATAGTCAAAAGGTACAACACAATAAATATTTTAACTTCCGCTATCCAATAAGCCTCCTCCACCTGAACGGGAGCCGCTTCCAGTGGTTTCATTGTATGGCAGATTTGCCAACGGGGGCCAGAGCGCTTCCATTGAAGCAATGGACGCAAAACGTGGTCAGCACTCACACATTCATCACGAAACGGTTGCTTTCCCAAGTCGACGACGCATCGACCGAAAGAACTGCTGATGAAGAACAATGAGGAGGACCACACAATGGTTGCTGCCGAGTAAACAGACGACCGCGTGACACACATTGAGAGTGGTCTGCTTCTGTCGACAGCCGGGTGAAGACTGAATTCTTTCTGAAAGGTGTTAATGTTATTGACTTGAGTTCAATACTTTCCGAAATGATTTCGAACATTTCTGAAGCTATTCAGTACTTTCTGAAGTGATTCCGAATTTTGACGTACATAGGACTACGTCTGTGATTTCTATATGGGGGTACACTTTGTGAAAACCGAAAATGGAACATGTAACAAATTAAGAAAGATTTTGAACGTTAATAACTCAGCTGCCCCTGGACCAATTTCAATAATTTTATCACCAATCGATCAGATATATTTCTACGCATCTGTTAACTTTAAAACTTTATCATTTTGCAAAATATCACTGTTGAAAATTGCACGAATGTGCAACTGATGCTTTGATAATTAAAATTCTCACCGATTGCCTGCGAAGAGCGATTTCCCTAACACAGATTTCAAAGTTGAATTCCATCGGGTCTCACCAAACAACGTTTATTCACTCACCGCGTGGTGAGGGGTGGGGTTCTCCAGTACACAACGAAAGGCTGCTTGCAAACAGCGAGCTGCAGCCCACATGAGCATCCATAGAAGGAAGAAGAAGCCGCACCGCTATTGATCGGAATCAGTAGCTCTTCGTGAGTCGCTGTTGGCTATCTATGTCAAGCGCGCAATACTAAAGAGAGAACCCGCTCAAATTCCTATTCCTACACAAAACACAAGCCTCTGCTACAGTTAAAAAATAAGATTTATTATATAAGATCCACGTAGTCCTACGTCACCATTGCGTACAACCCCATAAGGCTGTCCCTTGTAGTTTTTTAAAGTAATTCAGCATTTTCCGAAGTGATTTCGATCATTTCCTAAGTGATAGAGTACTTTCCAAAGTAATGCCAAACATTTCTGAAGTGCTTCATTACTCTCCAAAGTGATTCCAAACATTTCTGAATTGATTCAGTTCCTACCCAAATGATTCCAATGTATTCTGAAGTGAACCAGTACTTTCCGAAATGATTTCGATGATAACTGAAGTGATTCAGCTCTTTCCAAAGTGATTATGAACTTTTCTAAATTGATTCAGTTCATTCCGAAGTGATTCCTAACTTTTCTGAAGTCAATAAGAACTTTCCGAAGGGAATTTTTCAAAAGCAATTCACCACTTTCTGAAGTGTTTTATTATTTTCTGAAGTGAAGTTCTTTTAGAAGTGATTCCGAATTTATTTAAAGTGATTCAGTACTTTCCTAAATGATTTTTTTTTTAAAGTAAGTCAGTACTTTCCGAAGTGATTACGAACTTTTCTGAAGTGAATCTGTACTTTTTGAATTGATTCCGAATATTTCTAGGGTGAGTTGTTTCAGAAGTGATTCTGATCATTTCTGAAGTTATTCAGAACATTCCGAAGCGATTCCAGTTATAACTTTTGACCAGTGCTGTAAATTTTCAAAATAAATTGAACATTTGTGATGAAAATGAGAAAAGCAGCTATCCGCTATCAAAGAAGACCTCCTTCGAATGGGTGATATCAGTTGCTTAGTCATTTGACGAAGGCATGGATCATTCTCATTTGAGAAACGCTTGATATCATTCAATTGAGTGTAATAAACGGAGCTCTGATCGACATTCCGGCGAAAGACTTAAGCCAACCCGACACCAACCTGACTTCTACCAAGCCCCAACCCGATGTTGACCCGACATTAACGCGACATAAATCCAAAACTGACCTGATAAAAACACGACATTGGGACGACATCGACCTTAAATTTGCCTTACATTGATCCGACATGGAGTCGACTTGTCTGTTCGGGACCATTTTGTTGGGTTTCTTCCATACTCCACTGTCGTATATCAAATGAAAGTGAGTGACGATGAGCTTCGAATGAGAAAGGGGCTCTTCGAATTATGGTCATGTGAGAATTTGTTTTGAATGGTTGGTATTGGTTCATCTTCAATCGAATGATATGAAAATTGACAGCACTGGTTTTGACGGTTACAATTATTCGCTCTCAAATTTTTTGACTTTTAATATTTTATGGAAAACTCAATTTGTCCACTTTGACCGAAATTTTTGGACGTTTCTGAAAGGCTCCACAAAAAATGTTACGTTTAAGGTGTTCAGGTCATGTTGACCCGGATTTGAGCCAACGATTTCGGAGCCATTTTCATACCAAATTCCAAATTCTTTGCACCTATCTTTAGTATGTTGTAACGTGCATCACTGGTCATGTGTACTGTCTAGGAGAACATGGGCTATCCGGTGACTACGGAACAGGTTCCGGCGGCACCGTAAGTGTGACCAATTTATAATTTTATCGGAACCAATTCATGCCTTAAAACTTGCAGAATTTCATAACTAATTTAACAGAGACTGTGTGTACTGTCTAATTCGACATTGGCCACCTCGTGGTCCCTGAACAGGTTCCGGAGGCACCGTAGATATGGCCGGTTTATCATTTTCATAGAACGAAGTCGTGTGGAATTTCAAAATTTGTAGAATTTCATGAACAATTCATCAGAGGCCATGTCAACATGTCCGGGGCAAAAGTGGCCATCCGATGGTCCCGGAACAGGTTCAAAGAGCCCTGGAAAGGTGACAAATTTATAATTTTGACAGAACCAACTCATGCGGCACCTCAAAATTTGCAGAATTTTAAGGAAAATTCTTCAGAGACTGTGAGTACTGTCTATTTCGAAATTGGCCATCTCCTGGTCCCGGAACAGGTTCCAGAGGCACCGTAAATGCGGGTAGTTTTTATCATTTTCATAGAACGAAGTCGTGTGGCACCTCAAAATTTGCAGAATTTCATGAACAATTCATCAGAGGCCATGTCAACATGTTCGGGGCAACAGTGGCCATTCGGTGGTCTCGGAACAAGTTCATGGAGCCCTGGAAAGGTGACCAATTTATAATTTTGACAGAACTAACTCATGCGGCACCTCAAAATTTGCAGAATTTCAAGGAGAAATCATCAGATGAAAAAAGTACAAACGATTGAGCTCAAATTTTGCATATGGTCTTTTTTTGAATCAGCTTGACAAACATAAAATTCCCACGGTGGGTCGCGACCCATAGATTCAGAAAAGCTCCTCTAGGTGACTCTGCAGTTGAGCACCTAGATATGCGTTGAGTTACTCAAAATGACTGCCAAGTTATCTGGAAGTCCTTCAGAATGTTTTAAAGATCTTCATAGGTTCCTGAATACGTTTGGGAAATTTCATAACTTCGATTAACAACTTCAGATATGCAAGAAATCCAAAGCTGGATTTTTAAATAATTACTAACATGATTGTTGGAGATCAATTCTTTGAATTATCTATAAAAACTCAACTTCATAGTTCATCTCTGAATCTCCAAATAACCTAAAACAATCATGGCTTCTTTGTTAGCATACATTTAGGGACCATTCATAAATGACGTAGCATATTTTTGACCAATTTTATACCCCCTCCCCCCTCGTAGCGTATTTCGTTATACCTAATACATGGTTGGTCACATCTTCTGAACCCCCCACCCCCCTTTCCCCAATGCTACGTCATTTACGCATATTCCCTTACCATAATTCTCAAATATCATTCCACCTCCAAAACGACGCTTCATAGATCTTCATGAACCCAACAACATCCATCGAAATCTGCTTTCGCCTTGCTTCGCTGCGAATCGATCGCCATTATTCGCAAAACTGGTCATTACAAAACCATGAACTACATTTCCGCAAAAAAAAAAAACCTTCCGCTTCGTAGATCTACCAATCATGTACAGTAACCCCGTGTCCGTAGTCAGTAGAACAGTACCCTAACCTTTCAACCAATCAAAACGGGACTCTATCTACTCGATGTTCGAAATTCAAGGTACATTCACTATTATTTCCCGTCAAGCTTTTGGTATAACCTTCAAACTAAAGAACTTCAAATTAGTTCGTAGATCTACCAACGATTTTTTTTTGTTTAACAACCAACTATGCGGCTTCCAACCAACCAACCAACCAACCAAACCTCTCGAATCCGATCAGTACGGGAAATCGGTGCCTCTAACCCCCTACCGCACCGGCGCACGAACCCTGCCAAATCAACGGGCAGACGTGCGACGGCGACCTGCTTCCAGTACTTACTTACTCTCCGCGCTTAAGTCCAAATCTTCCTAACCCAACTTACCCACCAATGCCGGAAAGCTACCACCTTTCGGGATCAATCTTTCGTTCGCCTTTCTCGGCACTGACAACCTGCCTTCCTCCATTCGGTGAGTTTCCCCGTGCTAATGCTTCCCATTTTCTCGCCCGCCCATCCAGGTCAGATCTACTCGTTCAGTTTGAACAACCCCCGGGACAAGGTCTACGCGACGGGCGAGAGCACCTCGTCGGAGGACGATTCCTACCTCGGGTACTCTTCGGCTACCGGGGACTTCAATGGCGATGGCACGATGGGCGTAGCGGTCGGCATGCCCCGCGGCGGAGGACTGCTCGGCAAGGTGTTGATCTTCTCGTGGAACATGACCAACCAGCAGAACATTACCGGCGAGCAGATCGGGGCGTACTTTGGGTACGCCATCGCCGTCGTGGACGTAGACGGAGACAAGCTGGACGATCTGATCGTGGGAGCTCCGATGTACACGGAACCGAACACCGAGGGCAAGTACGAGACGGGACGGGTGTACATTATCTACCAGGACAAGGTGAACAAATTCCAGGAGGTGGAAACCCGCGACGGCGTGAACTCCAAGGCCAGGTTTGGACTATCGGTGTGTTCGCTTGGTGACATAAATCTGGATGGGTTCGGAGACTTTGCTGTCGGAGCACCATACGATGGACCAAATGGAAAGGGAGCCGTATACGTGTACCATGGATCTCCGAGCGGTCCCCTGCCGAAGCCGTCGCAGGTTATCATGGCTGAGGACATCTCCGGAGCTTCAAGGATATCTACGTTTGGATTCTCAGTCGCTGGAGGTATCGATCTGGACGGTAATCAATATCCGGACATGGTGGTGGGTGCATACGATTCGGACAAAGCCTTGGTGTTTAAGTCTCGCCCGGTAGCCGTGATGGAAGCGAGTACCTTGTTTGAGACTGAAAATAAACTGATCTCACTGGAGGATCACAACTGCACTCTCCGTGATCGGAAGCAAGTGCCGTGTACCGTAGTCAACTCATGCATGAAATACAACGGTATCAACGTACCACCCACTCTGGACATTGAAGTCTCCTGGGTGTTGGACTCGAGAAAATCCCGAAACCCACGCATGTTCTTCATGAACGATGAAGGTCGAAACATCCGGAATCAGTCGATAAGGCTGTACCGAGGCAAGCTGGAGTGCAAGAGCGAACGCGTCTACATTGGGGAGAACATCCGAGACAAGATCACTCCCTTGGAAGTGGAAATGAAGTATAACCTTCGACAGAGCAGTTACAGTACCCAGAGACGCCGACGAGCTGCCGTTGAACCGGTTCTGGATCAGAACCGAGGAACCGTTCAGAAGGACTCGATCAACATCCAGAAGAACTGCGGTCCAGATAATGTTTGCATTCCGGATCTTCGGCTGCAAGTCAACATGGTCGACGAATACCTGCTAGGTTCCGGCAAGCACCTCGGAATCGACATCCTCATCTCCAACTTTGGCGAAGACGCCTTCGAAGCTGGTTTCTACATGACGATCCCCTCGGAACTGAACTTCCGACGAGTCGAGAAGGTCGGAGAAATCAAGGATACACCCATCCTCTGCACCACGCCTCCGGGAGCCACCAACGGTACACTCAAGTGTGACATCGGAAATCCTCTGTCCAGCGGAAAGGTCGTCAACTTCAAGGTGCTTCTATCGCCATCGATCAAGGTCGGAATGGCCCCGAGCTACGACTTCTACATGGAAGCCAACTCCACGAACCCAGAGATCGAAGGATCCCATTCAGACAACATCTTCGAGAAAAGTGTCGGAATCACCATCAAAACGGACCTTTCCATCTCCGGAGTGTCCCTGCCGGAGGAGTTCATCTACAACTACACAGAGTACCGCACGTTAGAGGAAGCCGAAACCGAGCATCATCTCGGTCCTCAGGTTGTTCACATCTACGAAATCCGCAACGTAGGACCGTCCACCATTGACGAGGCGGAATTTTTCGTCCTGTGGCCTTACGAATCCAATGAGGGTGAAGCGTTGATGTACCTGCTGGTTCCGCCAGAAACCAGCGGAAATATCAAATGTCAACCGAGCAGCTACATCAATCCGAAGGATCTGGCCATTGAGAATCCACGGAAGAGTGTCTTGGAAAAGGTCGGAGCCTCGTCGGGTCACCATGAATCGGCTTACAGGACGGAATACCGAGCTTCCGGCTCTTCTGCGGGAGGTGCAATTACGGGAATTGCTCGTGAAACTACGCACACTAGTTCTTCTTCCGGTTCCGCCGGTTCCGGTTACCGTACAAGCTCTAGTTCCAGTTCGAGCTCCGGTTCCAGTTCGAGTTCCAGTTCCGGGTCGTCGTCTTCCTCTCGTGCTGGAGGGGCAGCGGTAGCACAAGGAGGACATCGGCAGGAGGTCCTCACCGATACGGAGCGTCGCCGGTTGGATGAAGAGGAGAATCAGGAATCGACGGGAGATGCCTCCTACGTTCACAGACAGCGAGCGGAAAGTGCCTCGGCCCAGGCTCATTCACAGTACGCAGCGGGAGCCGCCGCTGGTGGTGGACAGCGATACGGCGGACAAGGAAGCAGCAGTGGTGGTGCTGGATCTTCCCGGGAATATGTTTATTCGAGTAGTTGGAACTCGACGAGCGCCAATGGGGGCCCAGCGGTGACGTACAGTGCCAGTCGTAATCGCACGGTGTTCCGTGGCGAAGACGGCCGAGTACAGGTTTCGGAGAGTAGCACGGAGCATTACGGGAAGTCGGTCGCGGCGTTTGCTGGCATCGGTGCCGGTGCTGCTGCCGATGGTCAAGTGCTGCACAAAGAGGACTTCAGTGACATCTACCGACAGGAGGAAGCTAACAGAAGTTCGTCTGCTTCCAGTGGCACTGGATCGTACCGAAGCGGAAGTGGCGGTGGCTATCGGCAAAGTGCAAAGTGAGTATGGATTTTCTTTTGGAATAGTTGTAAGTGTGATGGCTACTAACTTTTAATATATTTCTAAGGCCTTGCACTGGGAATGCTGGGCTCGAAGCGAGCCTGTATGCGAGGTTAGCCCTCCCAGTAGCTCCGTACTAGATTCTAATTATGTGCTTTCAATTCACAGCATTGACGCATCCCGATCTGGTTCATCGGCGTCATCGCATAGCTCTTCCGCTGGTTATGCTAGCGGATCATCATCATCCGCTTCGTCCTCCGGTCATGGAAGTGGAATCCACAAGAGCGAATCGGTCCGAACCGAAGAGGTCAATCAGGATATTTCCGACCTCGGTTCGCGCAGCCACGCAACTTTCCAGGGAGCAAGTGAATCCAGTTTTGCGGAAGGTTCCTCCAGTGGCCGACGGCGCATGAAGAGCCAACAGGATGGGGAGCCCGCCCGACCGGATTTGGTTACCGGGATTTCAGGCATCGGACGACTGGCTCAAGGTCATGGAGGTTTCCAAACGTCTACGTTGGATCTGGGAACGCTCAATCGGCAGAACGTAGACGAAAATGTGCGGAAGAGCAGTGGAGGAAGGATTTCCGGAGGATCCGGCTACGAGTCGCATAGTAGTTCAGGTCACTACGGTGGGCATCAACAGGGAGGGTCGTCGGCGTCGTCAGCGGCGGCAGGATCATCAACAGGATCATCTTCGTCGAGCCGAACTTATTCCAGTTCTTCGCATGCCTCGTCCGGATCTAGCCACAATCAGCACAGTGGTGGCAGTCAGCAGAGTTATGTGCACAACCAGCAGAATGCTGCCTACGGCGATGATGGTGATGAATACGTAGATGAGTATGACGAATACTACGAACATAACACCCAGAAGACTTCAGATTCCAGTAAGTGTTCGGAGCCAGAATGAATTTTCGAGTCACTGATTGCATTTGTTTATTTTGTAGATTACCGAGCTCATCACTCTATTGGTCAGCTGAATCAAGGTCACGACAGTGTGGACCAGAAGTTCAAGTATTATCAGCAATTTGACCGCCGACAGCGGCGTCAAGTGCCCGGCGTGGAAGACGAAAACGAGCGGGCCCTGAACGAGGCCCTGCAGTGCCGTGCTACCCGATGTGCCATCATTCGGTGTATGGCCGGCCCGATCGGCGACAAGGACGTCGCCTTCATAGCCCTGCGGTCCCGAGTGGTGGCCCATACCTTGCACAAGATCTCGTCCGGAACGACGATCAACTTCTCCACGATGACCGTGGCCCGCGTCACTCGGTTACCGTACATCGGTCGGCCGAAGGAGATGCCACTGAAGACACGTGAGATCCAAGTCCAGGCCACGCCGGAACCTACTCCCAAGCCGGACGTCATCCCGCTGTGGATCGTGGTGCTGGCGGCCTGCGCCGGTACGATTATCCTGCTGTTGCTCATCTACCTGCTGTCGAAGGTGAGTGGGTTGGGGAGTTTTTCTAGGGAGGTGGATTCTTCTTCAGCTGGGATCAATGAAGTTTTGCGGAAGCTAAGAAATATCTTTTTGGAAGATCACAAGGCCTTATGTGTTCATCTGCCTGGGTAGTTTTGTAAAAATGGCAGGTGGACTGTGATGGGAGTTCAACGGATTTACAGGAGAAGATCAACGGATTTTCAGAAGACGTCTGAAGATCTTTCAGAAGAAGGACTTTCGAGAGATTTTCCGGCGGACTTTCTGGAGAATTTGGACAGGTTTTCGAGAGATGTCTGAACGACTTTCAAGCGTCCAAAGAACTTTCAAGAGAAATCCGAAGAACTTCCTGTCAGGAGAAGCCCGACGGATTTTCAAGAGAAATACTTTCGACTTTCAGGGGAATTCCGAATGATTTCCAGGACAAGTCCAACGGACTTTCAGGAGAAAGGCTTTTCACGAGAAAGAAGTCCGACGGACTTTCAAAAGTAGTCCGACAGACTTACAGAAAATAATCCCGAATTACTTCCAGGTGAAGTTCGGAAGACTTTCTGGAGAAATCCGATGAACTTTTAGGAGAAGTTGGAATGTCGTTCACGAGAAATTCGACAGACTTTTAATAGAAGTCCGAAAGACATTCAAGAGAAGTCCGAAAGACTTTAAGGAGACGTCCGATGGACTCTCAGAAGAAGCCCGAAGGACTTTCATGAGATTTTCTGGCGAAAGTTCTGGAGAATTTAAACGAACCTTCAGGAGAAATCCGACACATTTTCAAAGGGGGTCTCAACAACTTTCAGGAGAAGTGAGACGGACTTTCATGAGATTTTCGGCGGACTATTAGAGAAATCCAGAGGAAGAAGTTTAATAAAATTTCTGGAGAAATCCGATTTTCAAGTGAAGTCCGACAAACTTTCAGGAGAAGTTCAAAAGACTTTCAGGTGAATTCTGAATGATGAAAAAAAAACTTTTTGGACAATGTTTACATACTTTTAGGAGAATTCTCAGGAGAAATCCAACAGACGACAGAAAGACGACCGACTTTAATGAGATTTTTGACAAACATTCTGGAGGATTTTGACGATTTTTCAGGAGTAGTTCAACGGAATTTCATGAGATTTTCCAGGTTCGAAGTCCGAAAAACTTTCAGGAGAACTTCAAATGACTTTCAGAAGAAGTTCGAAGGCGTTTTAGGAGAAGTTCGAAGGACGTTCAGGAGAAGTCCAAATAACTTTCAAGAGAAGTTTGAAGGTCTTTCTGGAGAATTTTGACAGAGATTCAGGAGAAGTCCGCTGTATTTCTAAGAGAAGTCTAAACGACTTTCAGAAAAAAAGTCCCATCGACTTTCAAGAGAAATTCGATGGGCTTTCAGAAGAAATTTGTCGGACTTCCAGGAGAAGTTCAACGGTCAGGAGAAGTTAGAGAGACTTTCAGGAGAAGTCCGACGGACTTTCAGGCGAAGTCGTACAGACTTTCACAGAAAGTCCCGCATACTTTCGGGGAAAGTCCGACAGACTTTCAGGGAAAGTCCGACAGACTTTCAGGGAAAGTCCAACAGACTTTCAGGGAAAGTCCAACAGACTTTCAGGGAAAGTCCGACAGACTTTCAGGGAAAGTCCATCAGACTTTCAGGGAAAGTTCGACAGACTTTTAGAGAAAGTCCAACAGACTTTCAGGAAAAGTCCAAAAGACTTTCAGGGAAAGTTCAACAAACTTGCAGGGAAAGTCCCGCAGACTTTCAGGGAAAGTCCCGCAGACTTTTGGAGAAAGTCCGACAGACTTGTTGGGAAAGTTCGACAGACTTTCAGGGGAAGTCCATCAGACTTTCAGAGAAAGTTCGACAGACTTTTAGAGAAATTCCAACAGACTTTCAGGGAAAGTCCCGCAGACTTTTGGAGAAAGTCCGACAGACTTGTTGGGAAAGTTCGACAGACTTTCAGGGGAAGTCCGACAGACTTTCATGGAAAGTCCAACAGACTTTCAGGGAAAGGCTGACAGACCTTCAATTAAAGTCCGACAGACTTTCACAGAGATTCCAGCAGACTTTCGGGGAAAGTCCGACAGACCTTCAGGGAAAGTCCATCAGACTTTCAGAGAAAGTCCAACAGACTTTCAGGAAAAGTCTAAAAGACATTCAGAGAAAGTTCAACAAACTTGCAGGGAAAGTCTGACAGACTTTCAGGGAAAGTCCGACAGAATTTCAGGGTAAGTTCGACAGACTTTCACGGAAAGTACGACAGACTTTCGGGGAAAGTCCCGCAGACTTTCAGGGAAAGTCCCGCAGACTTTTGGAGAAAGTCCGACAGACTTGTTGGGAAAGTTCGACAGACTTTCAGGGGAAGTCCGACAGACTTTCATGGAAAGTCCAACAGACTTTCATGGAAAGTCCAACAGACTTTCAGGGAAAGGCTGACAGACCTTCAATTAAAGTCCGACAGACTTTCACAGAGATTCCAGCAGACTTTCGGGGAAAGTCCGACAGACCTTTCAGGAAAAGTCCAAAAGACATTCAGAGAAAGTTCAACAAACTTGCAGGGAAAGTCTGACAGACTTTGAGGGAAAGTCCGACAAAATTTCAGGGTAAGTTCGACAGACTTTCACGGAAAGTACGACAGACTTTCGGGGAAAGTCCCGCAGACTTTCAGGGAAAGTCCCGCAGACTTTCAGGGAAAGTCCCGCAGACTTCCAGGGAAAGTCCCGCAGACTTTTGGAGAAAGTCCGACAGACTTGTTGGGAAAGTTCGACAGACTTTCAGGGGAAGTCCGACAAACTTGTAGGAAAAGTCCGACAGACTTTCATGTAAAGTCCAACAGACTTTCAGGGAAAGGCTGACAGACCTTCAATTAAAGTCCGACAGACTTTCACGGAAAGTCCGACAGATATTCAGGGAAAGCCTGACATATATTCAGGGAAAGCCCGACAGACTTTCAGGAAAAGTCTGACAGACTTTCAGGGAAAGTCCAACAGTTTTTCAAGGAAAGTCCAACAGACTTTCACGAGAAGTACGGCAGACTTTCAGGAGAAGTTCGACGGACTTCTTTCAGAAGAATTTCGACAGATTTTAAGGAGAATTCCGATGGACTTTCAAGACATTATCCGACGGACTTGCAGGAGAAGTGCGAAGGACCTTCAGGAGCTGTTCGAAGGACTTGCAGGAAGTCTAAATGACTTTCAGGAAAACTCTCAGAAGATGCCACTTTCAGGAGAATTATTCCAAAGTACCTTCAAGTTCGATAAACTTTGGGAAGAAGTTCGAAGGACTTTCAGGAGAAGTTTGAGAAGGCCTTAGGACTTTCAGGAGAAGTCCAAGCCACATTCAGGTAAAGTACGAAGGTCTGTCAGGAACAGGTCCAATGGCATCTTGTAAATGTTATAGAATGGAATATAAGGAAGCTTTCAAAGGGCTTCCACGAGAAGTTTTCCACAGGAAGCCAAATGAGGATGCTTCATGTATCGTTCAACAGAACTGAACATTATTATGGACTGGATCTCAATTCCGAACCAACTGCAATTTCCCGACTTTCGGGTAAGTCAGAAAAAGTCGGGAAAAGGAAATACTAGTTCAGTGAACTGCAGTAAAATTATGAGCGCTTCAGAGTGGTCGAGCAGATGGCTTTCGAGAGGAGTCCAAAGAATTCCGGAGCAAGTTTGAAGGCTTTTCAGATTCATCCATGGTTTCATCCTAAAAGCATTACGACAGTGAGCATGCATAAGGGCCTATACGCGATGATCGATTCTCTTCATCGATTTTCTCTTTTGTTAATAACTCGCTAGATTTGACGTTTCTCGGTGCGTTTGCTGTTGCTTTTGATAGCCAATACAACCTGTTACTACTCTGCATTGAACAAATTCTAGAAAATTGTTTCGCTTAGCTGTAGCAATGCAAAGAGAAAGTCGATGAAGAGAATCGATCATCGCGTATTCGCCCTTATGCATGCTCACTGTCGATTAGCAATCATTTTTCAAAATTCAAGCTGTCAATTGGACACATGTCACTCATCAGCAGTGTTGCCAGTTTTCTTTTCACAAATCAACTTCCTTCTTTCAGTGCGGTTTCTTCAACCGAAATCGACCGTCGGACTCGCAGGAGCGGCAACCGCTGAATCGCAACGGCAACTACCACGGTGACGAGCACCTGTAGAGCGAAAGAAATGTTTCATTTTTTTGTTTTAGATGTTCACGCGGAAAAGCAGCAGCAGATAAACAAACGCTTAATTTTGATGACGACAGCAATAACAACAACAACAACAAAGGTGGCAGCAGCAGCAGCGAATAGGAGGCCGAAAGTGGAAAGCCCCCAAGTACTGTAGAACAGTATGATTTTGGGTGAAAAGAAAATTGAGATTAGTAGTGAAGGCAGACCGCTTTCCGCTATGGTTCCAAGATCTGCCGGCTGTTGGGTTAGGTTCCTCCCAGAGGAAACAAGAGATAAAGTATCGAACTCGAACTGTAATTTATACTCTTACTCGATCGTTTTGACTTAAGCGTGTATAACTTATTATTTTCCTTTTTAATTTTTCGACGAAAAACTCGTTGCCTGCCAATTTGAGAGGAGGACCAACAGTTGTGGTTGGGCGTAGTAGGAATAGATCAAAGGTATTTAATTTTTGTTTACACATAATTAGTGAATGTTCTTGCAAACAAGCGATTCGTAATATGGTTGTTTATAAGGTGTAAAACTAACTAGTCAATTTAATTGATTTTTTTTATTGAATAATTCTTCATAACCGAATCTCACCTGCAGCTTCTTGAATTTGCCCTCATCCCTACTACTTTTAAATGTAAGCATAAATTAATGATTAAACATGTATGGTAGTGCAATTAAACAAATGACAAATCTTATTGGAAATACCAATTTCAAAGCAAATCAGAGCAATATACTTACGTGGAAGTTTGAAGGACAATTTATAGTAGGCGCTGACTTTTTTTTTTTCTTTCTAGGTTAGGTTGTGACCGGGCAGCTGCCCTTTCTGTAGTTATTTATTGTTTAGGATTAGTAGGAGAGAATATTTTTATATAAGTGAAAGCAAGTGCCTAAAAAACGAAACAAAACAATGTAAACTGTAGTAGAAATAGTGTTGAAGAAATTTTTATGAAGAATTTTGGTGCCATGGCAAGAGTTGGAAACTGTTGAATCTCGTTAAATTTGCGGACGGAAAAGTGTACAATATTCTCCACTGTAAATTGTTTACTTAAACTAGCGACTCGTTTTGTAGGTAAGGTAAATACTGAGCCATGTTTCTTCCCGCGAGCAGAAAATTAATTTTCGCTGTAGTTTTATTTTTTTGTTCTACAACTTAACCAATAATGATCTTCAACGATGACTGTAAATAATTTTTGTGCAAGCGAACAGAAAAAAAATCGAATGGATGAACGAAAATAAATGAATAACACCTGTAGCCTTTCGGGGGGTTCCAGATTGATTGGAGTTGTGAAATTCCTTGAAATGTTCTAGCTCTAGCTGGATGTCTCAAATATGCGGCATCTGGCATCTCGATTTATGAAAATTGAAGGGTGCGTGGTTCAAGCATATCGAATGATTAAAAATTAATTATCTCTTGCTGAAAAAATAATCATCAGATATTAAAGTGATATCGAAGTGACAAACGGAGCGGCTCGAAAACTTTGGTGACGAACCTGCTATTGCAATTTTTCAGTGTACCGTATGGCAGCACTACTACCAACAATTAATTGGCAAATCAAAGTTGGTACTCGTGGAGAATAGAAGAACTATGAAAGTGATGATGGTTTCAAAATTTTACACGGTGAGGTATACGAGTTCAATCTTAAAATGCTTATAATTTGCAAATGGAGCATTTTATTTAAATCTGATTAATGCTACGTTAGTAGAAAACTTAAGGACTACTCAATAGACATATAATATAGAAAAAAATTATTATTTTCAGACTTTTAGGTGTATACATAGATTTCAGCTTTTCTACCACTGTAGCAGCAACCAGATTTAAATAAAATTCTCCATTTACAAAATAAAAGCATTTTAAGATTGCACTCGTATACCTCTCCGTGGAAAATTTTGAAACCATCATCACTTTCATAGTTCGTCTATTATCCACGAGTGCCAACTTTGATTTGCCAATACGAAACTAACGATTTTAAATTGGCTCACTACTTGACTAGCCTATTAGTCCCAAGCAAACGATTAACGTACCCCATTCTAGTCGAAATTCTAGTACTACGCTATGTTTGTTTTGATTCGCTATGAAAGTTTGACAGATAAAATGAGGGGTTAGTGGTTTTTCCTATGTTTCGAGGGGTGAATCGATTGGCTTGGGACCGAAGAGAGTACCAGAGCTGAGCCAAAAAGCTGAGCACGTTATTTCGGGACCTTCTTGTCTTGGAGTTACCTTTATGCTACTACTGGATTGTACTAGCATTTTCACCAAGTGTACTAGAATGTTTTGGTTATATCTCTTGCACTCTTCAAAACTGAAATGCATGAAAAAATAACAGAATTGGCAAATCAAAGTTGGCACTTGTGGAGAATAGAAGAACTATGAAAGTGATGATGATTTCAAAATTTTACACGGTGAGGTACACGAGTGCAATTTTAAAATGTATTTGCTTTGCGAACATATTATTTTAATAAAATCTGGTTGATGCTACGTTAGTAGAAAATTTAAGGGCTACTCAATAGACATATAATATAAAATAAAATAATTTCTTTTCAGATTTTTAGTTGTATACATAGATTTCAGCTTTTCTACAACTATCCAGCTTTCCATGCTCGGTAATGGCGGCCTGTTTGTATGAATAAATGTATCCTTCACTGTGCTTTTTGACACTATCTGGATGTTCGAATTTCAACCCCTTCCCTTTCCCTCTCCCAGGAACAGAAGAAAATGGAACAACATACGTAGTTACGTATACGTAGTTAGTAATTGTAATTGTTCAACCAACATACGCCCTCCAGTTAGTGTCAAAAAGTACAGTGAAGGATACATTTATTCATACAAACAGGCCGCCATTACCGAGCATGGAAAGCTGGATAGCAGCAACCAGATTTAAATAAAATGCTCCATTTGCAATATAAAAGCATTTTAAGATTGCACTCTTATACCTCCTCGTGAAAAATTTTGAAACAGACATCACTTGCATAGTTCTTATATTCTCCACGAGTGCCAACTTTGATTTGCCAATGATACACTCTTTGCACTCTGCCAAAGATCATTGCATTCAAAATCCAATGAGATACAGAGAGAGGTGGCGCAGATCGTGAAATAGGGTTGTATTAGTAAACCAAAAAATCAACGTAAACGCAAGTAGTGACGTCACTACTTGCGTGTACTTGCGTGTATCGTACAGTGGTTGTGTGAGTGATTGCTTCACCTCTGTAATCCAACTCATTGTTCAAAATCAACATTGTTCAAATCAAAACAAAAATACCAGCCCATCTGGTGGCTGATGGCATAAGTTTCTAAGAAAATTGTATAGACCTTTTTGACGTTTAATCGTCTTTTCCATCTAGCACACTAAATGAATGGACGGTTTGTTTTCCCACTAATCTGTTTCCCTCTTTCTCGCACTCGCTCGATTTAAATGGTGCATTATAGTACGTTCAGACTACAGAGTTATAACATGTTATAGCGCTATCTTGATGGTGGTTTCTGTGTTGCAATTAGTTGACAACCGTTATAACATGTTATAACCACAAACGAAGTTACAGACGACTTTCTCCGAAGAAATTAATTAAAATAAGGTGGTTCTCTGTAATAGAATTTTAGACCACTTTCCGCCGCTCACCGCCAGGTTCGCTAGTATTTTTGATTTGAATTAATTCAAGTTGGTTTTGTGTGCAATGATCTGGCAACTCGCGTTCTCACTCGCGTTGACGGGGTGCTGTTTTCTCACTCATCGAAGGAAATTTTGATTAGAGTGAGAAAGTAAGGAACAGTCAGCGCGGGAACCGTGTGCGGTACTATAGGTGCGGCAGAAAGAATGTAGTCGACTCCTTCGTTCTCACGGTGTTCTTACGCATGATCCAACGTTACGTCACACTAGATTATGCATAAGAACGTCGTGATAATGAAAGAGCAAAGTTTGTATGTTTGGGAGTCTCTCGCATTCAACTCGCATTCGTCCTCGAGTTCGTGTGGAAGCCATTCAGAGCGGAGGTGGCCAGGAGCGTGGCATTCGAAGTGGAACCGTTCCGACTCCACTGGTCGTTGGATTGGGGGAAGCCTGTGAAATCGCTAGCCGTGAAATGGAGTACGATCACAAATGGATGGAGTTCCTCTCGAAACGCCTGATGGACCAAATCTTCGCATCGCTACCGAAAGTCATCCGCAATGGCGATCCAGTTCATTCTTATCCCGGATGTATCAATCTGTCGTTTGCATACGTTGAGGGTGAATCACTGTTGATGGCGCTGAAAGACGTTGCCCTCTCGAGTGGGTCGGCTTGCACTTCGGCTTCGCTGGAACCGTCGTATGTGCTGCGTGCGATTGGTGCCGACGAAGATCTGGCTCACAGCTCGATTCGCTTTGGCATCGGAGGGTTTACCACCATCGAGGAAATCGACTACATAGCTGAAAAGTGCATCAAGCACGTGACTCGACTCCGAGAGATGTCCCCGCTGTGGGAGATGGTCCAGGAAGGTATCGACATCAAGTCGATCCAGTGGTCGCAGCATTAGAGCGGACGGGTCGGGGCATATTTTAAAGAGAGATTTGATTTTGTATGTTCTGCTGTGTATGGTTGAATTCAGTGAGGGTTTTTTTTAATTGTTAATCATTGATTGTGTTATTAACACATCCACTTTTGGTAGTAAGTAGGTATTGAGACGAGAGAAAAATAATGTATAGCTTTGCTACATATGCTATTAGAGACAGCAATAAATCTTAAGACAGTGAAATCATTGTGAGTATTTCATCATTCACTTGGCGAAAAAACTTCCTATCAGCGATTGTTTGAAATAGTATAAACTTTGTTAGTTCCCGTCAAGGACGGCGTTGTTACGACTACGCTAAATTCGCAAATCTGAGGTATTCGTGGACTGCCATCTCAGATTTGCTTTGGCGCGGATTAGTTCCACTTAGGGTTAATTCAACTAAGTTTCGATTCTAATTATTTGAAGACTCCAGGAAAATCTACGTTTAGAAAGACCTTCTATTATTTAATAAAGAAGTAAAGCAGTAAAGTTATTAATAGTTGGTTGGGCAAGCTAAAATATCATTTAAAAAAATGTGTTCAATGTCGATAAGCTTTCCGCAAAATCCGCACTTCAAAAGCTATAAAACCGCACAAAATTTGCGACACTTGTAACAGCCCTGCAGTTGGCTTCGGCGTGCCAGAGAATACCTAATCCACCTAACCGGACCTGAAGAAACGGAAAGGAGCGCGACTGGGATTAGACGGGCTAGCCTTATGAAGCTCTCTACTGACATACAATATAGCATGGTTGCAGCAACCTTATATTTCACCTATTTGTCCCTAAAGATCACTAATTTACACCCGACACCCTAGGTAGGATAATGTCATCGCAAATAACAACAATTCCCGTTGAATACATAGTGCGAAAAATGCTCTTGAATTACCCCAAACCGTCTCATCACAACCTACGCCTCGGTCAGCGTGGCCCGACCGATCGTTTTCGGCATCTTTTTATTGGTGGAATCCTCGAGCTCCTTCGGTTTGTAGTAATGCGGTGCCGCCTCCAGCAGCCACTTGCTTTCGATTTCAATCACCGACCGCATGTACTCCTTCGTCGTAAACACCAGCTCGTGGTACAGCACCCAACGAGGCAGTTCTTCGAACAGTGCCGAATTGGGATGGATCATCACCGTCTGATTGTGCTTGGCCGTTTTGTAGTGACCCCCCTTTGGAGAGCCGAGCGACGTGATAAAAGTACCCGGCTGTAATAGCCTTCCGGATGTTGGTCGTTTCCGGCAGACTGGAAACCATTTCGATTTCGACTCGCTGCATTAACCCAACCAGCTGCTCCCGGACATCGCGAGCTCGTTTCATCGAACGGAACTGAATGAAATTTTCGTAACACCACTGAGTGCTGTAGCCCGATTCGGCCCATTGGTTGTAGACCTGCAGCAAACTCAAGTGGTCCCCGTGCATGTGGTTGAAGTTCTTCCGGGCCGTATCTGCGTGGATGATTTTATCTTTCGGTCGGTAGAAGATGGCTCCATTCACCGATAGCATTGCAGCGATGGCCACCACCTCCTCGGAACATTTCTAGATAGAGCTGGAATTAGGGCGTAACAGCTTTTGTAAACAATGACTTCTATCGATGATTTCTAGGAACTCAAGGCACGCCCACGCAGACCAACATAACCATCGGATAGGGGAAGTCTTTCCCTATCCGATGAGGATGTTGGTTTGCGTGGGTGAGCCATGAGTTTCTAGAAATCATCGATAGAATTCATTGTTTACAA